AACTTAGTGGTTCCCATAAGAAATTACTTATTGGGTCTTGCCTTGCTTGTCATAAAGGCAAATATAGTTTCATCATAAGTTTTTCTGCTGCAGGCAGTGTGAGAAGGGGGGAAATTAACTTCTATCAGAGGGATAAAATGCAATGGTGACAGCATTTGGCAGTCAGAGGAAGTGTGCCCTGCTCTTACCTATTCTGCGTTTCTTCTGATGAGAATTCATGATTCTTGGTCTTGCACCTTGTTTGTTGCAGTGAGGTAGCTTTGTGCTGGAGGCTGGAGGAAGGAAGGTCAAAGGGCTCTTACATAGTGGAGCTGAGCACTTTTCACAGTATGTCTGCTGGCTGCTTTATGGGGCTGTCTCTGTGTTCCCTCTGCAGATCTGGCGGTGAAGGAGTTGCAAGGTGAGGATTTGGTTCCTAGACCCTGGTTTGTCTTATCAGTCACTCAGTGATGATATTCCTTCCCTTCATCATCAGAAGCCTCCCATGCTTCATCCTGTATCTCCCCAGTGATCAAGAATAACAAGTAGGTCGTGTGTATATACTGTTCTTCTTCATGCAATTGCCATCAGTGCTTCCAGTACTGTCAGGCTCTCAAATATGTTTCTTTAGCCCCTCTGAATCTCAGGCATACCTCTGTGTGCATAGCTCTCTGAGGAAAAAAGGTAAGATATGAAATAGACTTTGATTTAAAAGTATTTTTTTAGCTTGCTTAGCCAACTGCAGGGGCCTGGGAGGGGAAGGGAGGAGGAACAGAGCAGTGCAAGGAATACCTCTGGAAGCAGCTCCAGGCTTCTGGTTGTTCTCTCTTAGGCACTGACAAGCTGTCCCTGGGTAGCTTTCCCTCACAAGGAATAGCGCAGGGTGGGTAGCACAACGGGGATATCCACTTCTGGAGATGGGGTACTACATGGGGGATATCCAAGCCTGTCTGAAGTGGCAGCCTGAATGCATCCTACATTGAAGTGAAGTGACATCCTGAATGCAGCTACTCCTTGCTCCTGAGGTCTCTCGAAGTACAGCAATTATTCCCCCAAGCCAACTGAAAGTATTCCTTGGGGAGGTATGTCTTTTTCCCCTGCAGAGGGCAGGGGCCCTTGCCTTACCATTTCCCCCCTCTGAGCATTCAGGTGGCTTGTTCTCCCCAGCAGGGAAGGGAGCTGAGGGTGTCTTGTGCGACTGCTCACAGGCCTGTGCTCTTCCCTCCCCAGGCAGTCCCAGCCCTCGGTGGTGCCATGCCATGTGCCTCAGTGACCTGGGGACAGCTGTTCTCATTGGTGGAGAAGGTGTCAATCAACAGGCCTGCAGGGATGCTCTCTGGAAGCTGGAAATTGGTGGGGACTTAAGGGTTGTGACAAGCAGTGGGGACAGTGGGACTCGAGGATAGCTCATGCAGATGGGAGGGGGTACTTGGGCATCTGTGTGTATGTAGGGGACAGCAAAGGCATCACATCTGGCATGTCACCAGGCTGAGCTGACAGCACAGAGTGCTTTATGAGACTCTGGGATTGTACATGAGAGCCCTCTAGGAGCTAAGGTACAAGTTCTGGAAAGAGCTGGAATTTTAAGGGGTAAAATTAACAGTGCAGTTTGCCGTCTGTGTGTGGTGACTGGTGTGGAAGTGTGAGATACAATTCCAGTGCCTTGAGTCTTTCTACACCTCACTGGTCTTCTCTTTCACCTTGCTATTCCCCATCATTCCTTACAGAAGCAATTCTGTATGAGTTCCCTCTAACCCTGAATCAAAAGAGAGGAGGAGACAAAGGGAGCAAGGTTTTGAGTAAAGATTTTACAGCATATTCTTTAAATCTAGATAAATCAAGGCCATTTTTGAACTCCCACACCATGTGTCTGCTGTTGCTCCCACAGACAGTGATTTATGGCTTCCAGTGGGTTTCCAGCTACAAAGTGCCATGCCATCATGCTTGCATGGTCACACAGCTACCTACGACCCTGACACCAAGCGTATCTACATCTTTGGGGGCATAAGGGAGGACAAAGACTATGGCAGCATCTACATTCTGGACACAGTCACCTGGAAATGGCTCCTTGTGGCTGTGAGTACTGCCTCTCTTCCAAGACAAAAGTGCAGGAGGAGTGGCAGGTTCTGCCTGAATGTGGCAGTCCCATGTGCCCATGTCCTTAGTCCAGTCTTGGTCCACTGTTGGTACAGGTTGTCTGAGATGCATAGTTGGGTTTGACAGGTATTAAGAGGCTGTGTTGAAAAACCACATGCTGAACAGAAACCAGGAGCTGTGCCTACAAAGAATGAAGCAATGGCCGAAAGTAGTTGCTGCAGAGGGCTGTGCTTGACCAAGCTCAGTGGTGGGAGGTACTGTACAACAGCAGAGGGAAATGGCCTCTCATTTTATATGGTGTTGTTGAGAGCAGCACTAGGTGGTGAGGTGAAGAGCCAGCCTTCTCAAATCAGGAACTGCCCTGAGTACAGCAGAATTCTGAGGCCTTGTCACATGGGACTGTCTGTCTCTTTCCCGATAAAGCACAAAATGGCTTTTACAGAGTAAGCCTGCATGAGATCTTTCTGGTTCCTCACATCTTCTGAGGAAGGTGTGGGAGGCTGACTTCGTTTTCTTTTTAGAGCATTCTGGTGGTGTAGACCATGCAAAGAATGTACTGTCTTCCTGTGCAGCAAAGCTCTGGCTGGGGAGCCAATAAAGTGAAAACTGAGACTTGTCAAACTCATTGCATGATGTGGGCCCCTTTCTTATGGGTCATGCAGCAAATAATGCACTTCTTGTAACAAATATATATTGAAATCTTTCTAGGCTAAAGGGAGGATACCAGTGCTCACCTACCACAGTGCAACTATCTACCACAAGGAGCTCTTTGTTTTTGGAGGAACTTTCCCCGGAAAGACATCACTGGCAGTTGCACCCTGCAGCAATGTGCTCTATGTCTTCAATCCAGAGGATGAAATTTGGTATCAGCCCATTTCAGAAGGGGAGAAGCCTCTGCCTAGGCTTGGGTGAGAGTGCTTTAATTCCAGCTATCCAAAAATAGTGCAGGAAACCTCTGCTTATCTTCCCTCCCACACCAGTGTGATTTCTTAATTAAGTGATCATTTTCCACTATGTACCCCTTAAGATAGGGCTGTGTTTAGAGCAATGGAATTCTCAGTACCTCCTGTTGTGAAACCTGGTGGGATTTTGTCCCAGGTGTAGACTGAAGCTGTGGCAGCCCAGCAGAAGAGGCCAAGGCTAAAATGGAAGTTTTGGGAACTTGATGAAGATGATTTATTAATTTGCTTGCTCTCTGCCCAGGCATTCAGCTACTCTATTGAAAAACAAGCTCGTGATTTTTGGCGGTCAGAGGACTTCTGTCTACTTCAGTGACATGCACATTCTGGATCTGGGTAAGAAAGTCTGTGCCTTGGGAAGGTCTGTTCCAACACAGGGACTTGGGAGTGAGGTGTGCTCAATGGAAAAATAGCAGTAGCATTATACAAATTCCTGATTAGGCAATGCAGATGAAAAACTATGGGTTAAAAAAACCCTTTCTCAGGCAATAAGGGAGGGAATGAAGAAAAAACAATGGCTTTTGGGGAAGAAATTGGGTAACAGAGAAGGCAGAGGCATTGTTGATGTGGCAGAGTATCTTAAGTTTGTCTAGTTATGAGGCTGAGGTTTTGGGACATCTCACCTGCCTTTTCTCTGTCTGTCAGGTTTCATGGAGTACACGTCAGTCCCCCTCCTGGCAGGACAGCCTTCTGCACGTTGGTAAGATTCTATTGCAGACCCAGGAGCTATCTTCTGTCATTTCTCTTTGAAGCCAGGTTTAAACAGTGCTTGTGATCAGACCCAGCTGCATATCTCTGTTCCATTAGTCAAAATACAGTGGATCTTCTCTCCACTGTGAGGCCAGGAGTTCCTGTGCTGTCCTCATTGGTGCCTGGATAGTGTGGGGGGATATTCCTTAGTCTCCCTGGAAAACTGTCTTTCAGGCTAGGGTAAGTTTTCTGCTGTGTGCTAGTAAACTGTATGGCCTGCTGTTTTGTCTTCACAGTGCCTGGAGAGGTGCTGTACCACACAGAGGAATAAACTCCTGTACCAGGACTATGCTGTTCCTAAAGGGACAGAATTGCTCACTAGAACAATGATCTAAATCAATGCAGAGCCCAGCTAGCCTGTTATCTCACCCCACAGAGCACAGCATAGGAGCTTTGTTAGCTTTTTCTGAGATTGCTCTTCAGTCCTGACGTGCAGTGGCAAATATCTCTTTTAGGGTTATTCTGCAAGGTTTCTCTCTCTCTTCTGCTTTTCTCTCAGGGCAGAGAGATGCAGAAGCCAACTTTCTTCCTGCAGTGTAAGCCCCCAGTCCTGATCAAGTCTTCCTGAAGCTTAAGCCTCCTCCTGATGAAGTCTGACAATCCCTGCCCATTGCTGACTGAGGCCATCCCCGCAGGTTTTGTTGTAGTCACCTTTTGACTTTGCTTTGGTCACAGTTTTCATGCTGCTCTGGCTGTGTCGGACCAGAAGGTTCTGATCAGTGGAGGCTGCAATGCCAGAGGAGCCTTGCATGATGCCTTTGTCTTCCACCTAGGTGAGTGCCCTGTTTTGATAGCTGAAGGTGACTCTGGGGCTGCAGTGGTGTTTCTGAACACCTAGTCTAGTCCATTTGTCTCATCCCTTACACTAGGAATGGGCTTGTCAGTATTGATATCCCCTTTCCACTTCAGATACCCTTTCATGGAGCACAGTGATCCACCACGACCTCTGCTCTGTTCCCCGAGCTGGCCACACATTGCTTGACCTGACTCCCACCCATTTGATGGATATGGATAAGGAGAACAAAGAGGAGCAGAAGCTGCACACAGTGTTGGTCTTTGGGGGCTCAAACTGTGCTGGGACCTTTTATAACAGCACACTCAAGATCCAGTTGGACCTAGGATAATTCACAATTCTCTGAATGAGCCTGAACAGCAAGGCTCTTCACCAGCCTAAATACAGATATGGATGGCAATAAATGAGTCCAAGCAACATGGTAGTCCAGGTATCTGTATGTAGATGAATGGCACCTTGGTACAGGAGATTGTGGGTTTGTAAAGTTTGAAGGCCATAGGTATTGTTTTCCTAGGGTACCTGATATAGAGTATCTGGGCTCAGGTGCCAAAACATTCAGTGGGATCTGAGGTGACTCTGCACAAGAACACAAACAAAGGTTATGGGTTCCTTTCTTGCCCTACAGGTTTTAGCTGGAATTCCCAGGGTGCTTTCAGCTTTGTTAGGTGACTTAGGTGTTTGGTTTCATTTGGGATGAGTGGAATGGTATTTACTGCTGCTCTTTTACAGTAAAAGTACAGGCATGATTCTGGTTTGGAGGGAATCTGGGGTGGGATTTCCTTGGGAAACATTCTGCAGCTGAAGGCTAGGAAACCACCTAGAGCAGTATCTGAGGATGGGAAAAATAAGAGAACATAAGTTTCATTGTAGGGGAGAGAGCTGGTTGTGCCTTGCTGTCTTAAGGCACCATCACCTAGCTTTGCTCTAGGCAGACCTTTTATAAGTTCTGTGTGACTGCTCTTGTTATTGCAAGGGGTGACAGAGTTGCCAACTTGACTCTTTCAAGACCCCAACAATGGCTTAGCTATATTCCATCAGAGACTAGATGTGATTGTTTATATCCATGGAACTGATGACTGTGCTGTGGCTCTGAGGCAGCTCCAAGGATAAGCACACTGTGTACACTGATTCCCTGATGATCTTTCTGTAGATGGTAGAATGAAGTAGCCCCTGTGGGGAGTACAGACAGTTGTTTGTGGCCACATTCCCCAACCCAAAGCCATACAGAGGGAACTTCTGATCATTATGGATACTTCTGCTTTAATCTGCTTCATGGAGATAGTTTTTTCTATGCAATCTATTAGCTGCAGGTATTCCAGCACAGGCATAGCTCCTGGAAGTCATCCACACTACTTCCAGGTCCTCTGTCCTTCCCATCCAGATGAAAGGGAAACAGTAGTACTGGGGTTTCCTACTGGCACTGAAGTCGTACTCATCCTGTAGGTGTTGTCTTCTTTATCATGGCAGCTTTCTAGATTTAGTGAGTACAAGGGCTTCAAGCTCGCAGCTCTGCAGGAGTATCTGGCTGCCGGGAAGGGTGGCTTATTTTGAAGGCCTCTAACTCCAAGAGAGCTTTATTTATTCTGGTTATTGTGGGATATGGACCCATGTCCACTTTGAATCTGTAAAAAGAAAAGAATCTGTGAAGTACTATGAGTTGGGGAGCCAGTGCAGCAGTGAGCTGAAGTGCAGAGCAGTGTGATAGGCCTGCCTAGGTATGAGAGAATCTCACAGGCATTTGTACTAACAGAAAAGGTCCATCCTTGTAGGTTTACAAACAAATTCTAGAGAGATTAATCGGTGCCTGGAGAGGTTGTCAAGTCTCCTTCTCTAGAGATACTCAAAACCCAGCTGGATGCAATCCTGTGCCACTTCCTCTAGCAGGGAAATTTGATTGGGTGACCTCCAGAACTCCCTTCCAACCCCAATCATTCTGTGATTGTGTGATTTTCACCAGATTTTTACATAATGTGCAGCACAAGGTAAGAAAACACTGCTTTTTCTGGGAATCATGCAGCCATTACTTGCATGTGTTTAAGGCTTTAAATAAAGTGTGATTGATCTTTCCTTCTGTGTGCAGTGTCAGAATAAAGCAAAGAGGGGCAGAGAACATGGAGTGGGGGCAACCTCAGCTTTTCTAAGGTCTTAGATCAGGTTTCCCCAGGGGCCTATAAGAGGAGACCACAATTCATTACTTCCAAAAGAGACAGTATTTATGATATAGGAAAACTCATGGAGAGAAGAAACATGAGTGGATAGGGCAGGCAGAAGGGATACTTTCTAACAGGCATAGGGAGCAGCAGAAGGTAAACTCTGACAGCCCAGCATAAGTAGGTGTGTTGAAGAATATCTCAAACTTAGCCTTAATTACCTTTCAGCATTGGCAACTTGAGGCACTAAACACAGATCAGCCATGGAAACCTGCAAATATAGCAGAGAAAAGAGGTTAGAATAACTCAGAGCCTCTCCCCTCACACTTCCCAGTGGTGGCAGGCTTTGAGACCAGCACAGAAATTATTTTATCAGCCAGTACAGAGGAGTGGTTATGATGATCTAATTATTTAATTCAGCATTAATACTACAGCAACAGTGTAAGAAAAAGAACTTCATTTCAGTTACTAGTAGAAGCCATAAGCTTTTAGGGAACTTTATATTTACCAGCTGATCATTATGACCTCAAGGACACTGTGCTTCTATGGCAACTGCCTCTAAGCAAACACGTCTGATGGCAAGCTGCAGAGGGAGGTGATGGAGGGAGAGGGGTGTTTGCATGGCTGGAAAAAGTTAAGTAAATTTTGCTTGTTTGCACTGCTGGAGTATCAAGCAGATCCTGCCAGTGTCAAGGCTTGATATGTGATAGGGCCTCTGTACACAGGCTCAGAGACTTGCAATCTGAAAGGAAGACTTAATGGCAGTGCTGCTGATTGCCTGTCTGCACAGACAGAGGCAGCTGCTCCCACCCTGCTCCCCAGGTCACGAAGCCTGGGTGCCTCTCAGAGCACATGTTATTCTCCAACATTAGATTTTGTAAGTAGGGCTCCATAAGGCTGCTACTAGACAATCCCCTGCATCCCAGAAAAATGCAGGAACTTTCATTTTTTCTAAGGCTTTTACAGGAAAGATCTTTTGCCTGGCAGCAGAACTAATAAATGGAAAGTAAATGGAAAAGGCTTGAGCTGCTTCTAGTTTGGTAAGGGTCAGAACAGCTTTTATGTGAGCTCTGTGAAATCTCTCCATATTAAAATTGGATGATCAGAGCAGAAAAATACAATTTGATTAAAAGTTCCTTAGAACAGAGCTAAGAACTGAACCCATGTTTCTTGAGCCAAGCTTTGCCTGTATTACAGGACATGTTGAAGTCCAAATCCCATAAAGATGAAATGATAGATCATCTTTTTCCATATTCTCTAGTACCAGCCATATCCTAGATACAGCTGCAGAATCTGCCCATCAGCAGGTTATAGGCAGGGACAAGTAAACATCTCCATAACTCTCTGCCAGTCAGTAATGGCCTAAGTAGGATCTATGCATCTGTTCTTTGTTATGGTGAAGGCACTCCATGTAATTCTAGGCACTGGATGGGGTTGTGCTCGTCTCCTCAAATAATTTTCTCTCCTGTTTTAGGGGAAGATACTGGGGTTTTCAGTCCTGCAGTAGCACACAGGGCTCTCTCAGATACTTACTTCATCCCCCACACAGTAGCGTCCAGCAGTGTGCTGCAGAATCTGCTCCAGTGCTGTCAAGAGAGGTAGTACACTGGAATGAGGCATTGGAAAAGTCAATTGAAAGGGACACCAAACACTTTCTAGATTGGGAATTAGGTACAAGGGCATCTTAATCCCAAGAAGAGTATGAAAAAGGAGCATTTTGGGACACAAACTGGAAGGAATGGAAATCTTACTATAGTGTTATGGGAGTCTTTAGGGTCCCTTGGCTTTTTTAGACCCAGGGTGATTTCAGCTGCTTTAGACAGTGCACTTGAAGTACTGCAAGGATAATGCAGAAACACGTGACTGGGGAGGGGAGAAATGCAAAGATTTAGTCAGTTTGTGTCTGCCAGGAAGTGAAGATGGGCCTGTCATTGCAGTACATGGGGGAAAGAATTTTGAGGGAACCCAAAGCACTTTATATCTCTCAAAAAGGCAAAGAAATACTCTGCTACTTGCTAGACTCTGTTTGCTATTAGGTGTCCAATTACAAAAGCGTATCTATCTATATATATGAAGAACTTTAGAAATGCTGTGAGCCCTGGTGCTTCAGAATGAATCAACTGCTGCACTGTGTGCAGCATGGCACCAGGCTTCCCCTCTTCCATGTGCAGCAGTGGAAGTGTTCTGTGCACATCTTTCCTCTGAGATCCTGGGGAGCTACTAGTCCTGGACAGGAGACTCTGGGCAGGAAGAGCACTGTCTCTGACAGCAAAGCAGGACCCCAGCACACCAGCCTAGGAACATCTGTGGTTCTACTTGAAAAAGGCAAGTAGAATGCCAGTGGTGCAGCATTTTTGTAAGGTCAGCCAAAATACTTATCATTTTGGATGTGGGATGTACCTTGAAAGCCAGACATGATACAGTTCTGGGCCCATTCCATTTTTTTCTCCCCCATTTGTTTCAGGACACTCAGGTTCTGTGAAGGCAAAGCAATCTCTAGGTTAGATAACTACTGCTGGCTGGATCTTACCCACTGTGTCATCCAGTGGAGGAGAGGGGAGATGAGGAGTTGCCAAGGGTGAACCCCTGGCCGGAGTTCACTTGGTTGGGTCAGCCCTGACCTCACCTGCACCAAATCATGCACCCTGCTGTATCCTTCTCTTGGCACTACCCTTCTGTAACAGTTACCAGGGTATCCCTTTGCCTCTTCCCTTTCGGCTGCTCAATTCTCTTCTTCCTAAAATGTCCTAGACTCAGCAGTAAAACCATATGGATTCAGCTGTTTCTGGAAAGAACTCTGGGATGCTATAGGATTTGCTGTGTTGGAAATACTATATTGGTGCCATTGGTATCTAGATCAGGCAGAGGTTAAGCAGATTTTATCTGCTAGCACACTAATCTGAAGTTCTGCCACCCGGTTGGCTGGCAAGAATTTAAGGAGACTGAGAATTTCAGAGACAGAAATCCTGTCTGATTTTCTCATTTGCATGGATCTGACATGGCAGTACCTGGAGAGGCTGAATGCCAGAGACAATGTGATCAGCGATCATTCTGACTTGGGCTCTCTTCTTTGGATCCTGGGGCAGGAGCCTGGGGTGAGGATGTGTCTCTTCTAGGTAATTAATTATAGCTAGCTGTAATAAACAAAGAGATAATGGGAGGTTATTGGAGAGCCAAGCAAAACCTCACATTCTGGACACCTGGGAAAGGGGAGCTGATCCAAGAGAATACAACAGCTTTTGAAGTTTGCAGTTTGTTACCAACCCAAAGAACAGAATAACCCCTCTGACCTGTCATTTGTTCCAGCTGTAATTTCAGGCAAACCATGGAACAGCCATCAAAGTCAGACTACAAACTGCTTAGTGAAAGGTGGAGTTATGAACCACAGCAGAATTGCACTTAAATCCTTGACAGTAGTTTCCCATCAGGGAATATGTGCTATTTCTCTTCCCAAGTGGGATCATAAATGCCACCTCTTTTCCAATGTATAGGTGAGAGCTCTGGGGAAAAAGATGGGACAAAGCCATCCCATCCAGACTGGGTAGCAGGCTGGAGTAAAAGGTTAACAGGGATGTGGCTGATAACTCACTGACTGAGAAAGGGTGATGCCATCAATTTTCAAGGCTGGGACTTGCTGCATTGGATTCAGTGCCTTGAATTCAGCAGAAAACTGTGGAAACAAACCTGATATTACTCTACAGCAATAAGAATTCTTCTTCCTTGTTTTCTTCACAAAGAACCCAGTTACCAAATTTTCTTCCTTCCTCCTTTTTCTTTCTACCTTAATACTAATTTTTGCAGTAAATGATGCTATTGGCATCATTTATACTATTAGCCTACTATTAGCCTACATCATCTATACTATTAGCCTACAGCAAGCCCTCACTGAGGCTCAGCGATCACTGCATCCTGGCCCAGACTGCCTTATCTCTTGATAAAGCACCACTGCAATGCCCAGTGGTAGTGCATCAGTGCCACCATTACTGTCCCAGTTGTCCAACTTTACCTCAGCCCATACCAGCCCCATTGAGCCAGTGGTACCCTGAGGTGCACAACTCCCTCCTATGGACCCCCAAGTAAGGCCTCAGTGAAGATCTCTTTTGGCAACCCATCTCTTCCTTTTGCAGCCCCCTACAATATAATACATGAACTTTTCTAGTGCTAATCTTAAATCTCCTAATGACCCCTAAGTTCAGTACCCTGGAGAGAGCAGTGGTATTTTTATCCTTACCTGCTGTCCTCCATCCTTAATGAGGTTCACTGGGACCAGGTCATAGGAAATTCCTTTCAGAGCCAGTGCTAGGGAGAGCAGAGTGTACAGCTTCAGGCAGCTACACTGGAACCAATTTCATTGGTAATGGGCTCAGGAAAATGTTATCATCTACATTTGAAAAAAGACCCTATCCCTCAAGGAGGGTGGCCTGAGTCCACTGAGAAGACAGTGCTCTGGCAAATGAAGGACCAAAGTACTAAAGACCAGTCCTGGCAAAACCACTGCATTTTTCAAAATAAGCTTTGCAACTCTTTGCAGCACAGTCCTTCCTGATTCAGCTTATAGATGGCAGAACCATGTGCTCACCTTTAAAACCTTTCTGTCTCAGTACAAGCAGGAACCATTCCCAGCCATTTTTAGGTCTCAAGACCTGGGCAAGATAGAGTCTGGGGTAGTATCATGAAGCCCTCTTATCTGTTCCCCTCTATGCCACCTGCTCCAGCTGCTGTCTTTCCCTCCCTCCCCACGGGGAGATGCTTCACTGTTCCAGGCTCATGTTTGCTGACTTCTCTGTTAATAAGTGATTGATTAATTGGGTTAGTGAAGGGGAGGATATTGCAATACTGAGACAAAAAAGAGAGATGAACATTGAATCTTACCGATTCGCACTCTCCAAGAACAGGAACTTCGGAAATAGCTGTACAGTATTGGCTGGGAAGAGAAAGATAAAAGGGTTATAGGCTGGGAGCACCAGAGTGTTGAATGTAAGAAAAGAATGCATGAGCAGAAGGCGTTTTAGGAACTCTAAGACAGGGGAGAACGATGTTTGGAGGAGAGAAGGCGGCTTTCTGAAAGTAACTGTTCCTGATTTGGGCATACAGGTAGCTTCACTGTCTCTCAAAACAGCCTTCTCATTATCCAGTTGCACCTGATGTTTCCAGCAATGCACAAATGACCTTGAAATTAGTCCCTATAAAGCTTCCCTCTTTGTCCCTATCCAATATTGCTAACTTCTATCCCATCTTAGATTTCTGAAACAATTTCTGTACAGATTGTGCCAAGCACCTGGGTATTTGCATGGTATGAAATAGCTTTTCCAGCCATTCAGGGAAAAGCGTATTTGCATGGTATGAAATAGCTTTTCAGGGAAAAGACAGATTTCTTTCCAAACAAGAAGAGCTTCTGCTGTTTGAGATGAAAGCCATGAAGACAACACGATTCATCTCTACCTGAACTATAATGCTAAGGCAGCCTTCCCAGATGCTTCCACCCTGTCCAAACTCTCACCTTTTCAGATGCCATGGTAAGTGTGTGCAGTTGTCTCCAGAAATAAAACCAACTTCTGTGTTTTCCCTTTTAACTCAGCTGGAATGGGAAAAGGCTTCTCTCCTAAAACCAATGAGGAAAGGACTTTGCCCCCCAGTCTGTGCCCAGGACACAAAAACCAGCCAGTCAGATTCAATCCTGAGTCACTGCAGTCACCCTCTCCCAGCCCTGATATCAAAACTATTAACCAGATTTAAACTTGGAAGCACATTTGGGAACCATTCTTATTTTTGTAACTTTTCATCCAGAAACAAATAAGGAGAGCCTGCCAGGCTGTCACCAGTTGCCAATGCAGAAATCTAACCCTGGAGAACAAAAAAAAGAAAACTAAAGCTGCATGCAGAATTTCTGTTTCACTAGGGAATGACTGCTAGCTCTGGGAATGGGCTGCCTTTGCAGGGAGATTCCAGTGTGCTCCTAAAGCTCCCCTCCCACCAGGATTGGCCAGTACAGGGGATTTTCTACATTGCAGATATAGGAGAAGCTGCTACTCTGCTCTCAGACCAACTCAGTGTAAAATAAAAGATTGTGCTTTTTTTGTGTCAGAGCCTTTTCCTTCCACACAGGAAATTGGTATCCATGTATGTCTCTAAATAAACCTGTAATCATGTCTCTCCTTGCTTACACAGAGCCCATGGCACGCCATCGCTCTCTCTGTGTCTCTACCCTCCCAAAATGCATAAAAACTTTTCCAGAAACTTAGCAGCAAGACAAAAGAAAACAGGGATATGCTCAGAAAACCAGAGACACTGGTGATTTCTGTGCTCCAGTCCTCTTTGTGAACTTCATGCTTCTCTTACAGTTTAGATTGGCTCAAATAACTTCAAATGCAGTATGTCTTTGACTAAATTACTCAGATTTATAAGTGACGAGGAAAGGGATGGAAAGTACTGGTAACACTTTAGTGGATAAAGTATGTACTGATTTTCTTAAATTCTCCTGGGATCAGGGCATTAGAAATATCAGCTATGTTCACTTTTCAACTGTCTAGCCTGCTGAGTTTCAGGGAAAGAAACAGAAACTATAGCTTCAAAAGAGAAAACAGAGCAGTCATGAGATACTAATTTTACTTGCTTTTCCTGAGGACCTAGCTAATGATTTTTTGGCTCAGAAATTCATGTCCTTTACTACATCTATTTTGGACTCTGGCCTCTCAGCTAGCAGAGATTTCTCCTGATCTTCTCTGCAGTTCTTTTTTGGTTTTACAGCCTATGCTATAATTTGGAATAAACTGTGCTATGCTAATTGCCTTGCTCTATAATTTCAAGGCACTGGAGGATTTCACCAAAAAAACCCATGGAAACCAACCCATTGTTTAGCTGGGAACTGTCTCCAGAGGCTGGGGCACAGAGAGGTCTCTTGAGTTTATGCTGTTTTGCTCCTAGCAGCAGGGCAGATCACAGGCAAAAATAATCAACTAAGAAAATACTAGAGAAAATGGAAATGCTTTGTCCTTAGTGGACAGATCCCAGAGTGACACCGTGTCTTCCTCAGAGGAAATGCAGAGTATGGTGCAGGGAAGTCTCAGGAAAGAATTTCCTGCATTTACAACCCTGTGGGGAAAAATCCCCAAAACCTGTAGTTTAGCCTGGTTGGAGCTGGGCTGATAGCAGGAGGACAGGATTTGCTTCATGTCTACTGAGAGTTCTGGTTTGGTTCTCTTTTCATTTCTGGCAATCAGTGTGGAAAGCTTGGGCTTAAATACCAGTCCAGAGTAAAAATTTGGGTAACACACTTCCCTGTTGTTAAAGACAGAAGAAACACCCCAAAGTTTGTATGTTGACCTCTTAGGTTTTCTGTCTTCTTCAGAGTCGTACGGTCTACTGCGGATACCACCTTTTTCCAGGCGATCTACGGGATGCACTTGGAAAGGCCAAATCTCTCACGTTTCCTGAGACCCAGCAAGCCCAGCAGCCTGCACAGACACCGCTCCTTGGGGGCTGGCACAGGGGACACCTCGGTGCCTGGAAGGCACAGCTTGTACTCTGCTGGGTTCAAACGTAAAGCAGAAGGGACAGATTTGCTCCTAAATTCTCAGTATCTCTTCAGCAGGACTTGGTGTGAACAGTGCACGCGAATAAAATATGGTAAGCAAGCAGCACCGCTAAAAGCATTAGCACACTAAAGCATTTTATTTAGCACGGGATTAAATTCCTTGCTTTCCACTGCGACAGATACACGGGTGCAGGCAGTGGGGGCGCGGTCCTCCCGCGACCCGCCATCCCGGCCTTCCCGGGCTGCCGGGGCGCCAGAAGCCAGAGCCGCCGACAAGGCCGAACCGAGCGAGGCCCGCGAGGCCGAAGCGGAGAGCCGCCGCCCCAAGCCCCGCTCCCACCGCCGTGGGGCCGCCATCGCCCCCGCTCCCCTCTCGCCCCGCGGGAGAGCGCGGAGCCGGCGCCGCGTACCTTGGCGTACCTTGGCGGCGGCGGCGCTCATCGCCGTCCCGGCCTCCGCTCAGGGCTCGGCGGCTGCGGGCGCCGCATCCCGGGACTGCATCCCCCGGCGTGCCCCGCGCCCCGCCCGCGCTCCGCGCCCAGGATGCGCCGCGCCCG